CTGTTTGTTGAACTGGATTCTTATCCAAGGCGTCTAGATCCTCATTCTCTGCTCCCTTGTCTTAACTTCCCAACTGATCCCTTCCTCCTGCAGGCAGCTTAACCCAGCACTGGCTATTCTGAGTCCAAGAAAAATCATTTAAAAAGTGGGACCACAGATTCAAAAGATCATCATTAAATAACAAAGTCCTTGAGCTCTTATCATAACTGTAGAGGCAATCTCAAATTTACTGCCATCTAGAATTCTACTCACAGATTGCTGAGTTACTATATTCTTAAATTTAATTTAGTATCATCATTTTCAACACAAATGCTTATAAGGTAAGCCATTCTTACAGCTATACAAACTGCTTAAACATAAAAAATAATAATATGCAATGATAAATTCTGAACAGGGAACCTACATGTTACAATTAGCTCCACCAAAGTAATCCATTAAACATTAGAGGAAAGCAAATTTGTAAGCTATGTGCCAAAAGTTTGCTTGTGTCATTGATTTTATACACAAAATGCTTGGCATTTATTTTACACACAGAAAGATGTTAGAAATGGTGGTTCATTTCCCAGGCTAGCCCTCAAAAGTACACTTAACCCATAGAAGAGATGAATACCATGTATCTTCAGAAAACCTAACTGCTGTGGCAGGAAGATGTAACCAAAGTTCAAAGACAAATACCATTATGTTCTCACTCACATGGAGGAGCTAAGTAAGTTGATTTTATGGAGGCCAAGAGTAAAATAAGAATTACCAGAGGCTGGGAAGGGCGTTGTGTGGTCAGGGGGAGTGAAGAGAGGTTGGTTCGTTGGTACAAATGTACGGTTAGAAGAAACAAGTTCTAGTGTTAGCGCAGCAGTGAGACTATAGTTTACAATAACTTACTGTGTATTTTGAAACAGGAAGATTTAAAATGCTCTCAACACAAAGAAATGACAAATGTTTGAGGTGATGGATACCACAACTGCCCTAATTTTGCTGTCACACATTATATGCATTTATCAAACTATCACATGTACCCCATAAATATGTACAATTATGTATCAATAAAAAAGTTTAAAATTGTATGTAAACATAAAACATATACATACACAACACCCATCTGTACATATACACACACGTACACATGTCCTATTTCTATAAATATAAAAGCTTCTTTTTAAAAGATTTTTCTACATTTCTCAAGAGTACAAATATGGATTTTGTGTATGACATTTTTACAACAAAATTAACAAAACAAAATTTCCAACTTTTCTTTCCAAAAGGATCTTTTTTATTATGAATTTGTTTTGAAAAGCACTTAAAAATGTCCTCTTAAAATTTCACCTTTACTTTGAAATGACAGGTTAAGTATCATTACCCCACAATCTGGCTAGGTCACAGCCACTGGCTTAAACAGGGCAGCAAACTTATTTTTAAAACAATATAGTACGTTTACCTTTTTGTGAATAAGCAAACAAAAGCTCAAGTCATCTTTCATATTTTTCAGCTCTTACAGTGGTGCAGAAGATTTTTAGCTTCACTCTAATTTGTCACCTAGGAGTCTACCATTCAGATAGTTGAATGGGAAAGTCATTTACCGGGCCACGTGAAGAGCAGTACTTCGAAATACAATAAAGACAAGAGTTCTCAACTCGCTCTTCTCACTTCTTGTAACACACACGTGACGCCTGACCGTCTGTCAAAAGGACTGACTGTGGGCACGTCAATTCATATTTTACACATCTGTGAAACCTCACCTCTTCTGTTTTTAAGATAAAAAATAAATATAACACTTTATTTCCATGCCATAAAGGATTATCTCACACTCTCTGCCCATCCCACATTAGGTCTTTCTGTATACACAAGCATGACGGAAACACGGTTCCTTTCAGAAGCCCTGAATTTAAAAAGGACTGATAAAAATAAACAGTCAGTCTATTTGGAATATTTCCTTCCTAAAGATTCCTCCTCCAGATTTTTTTGGTTTTGTTTTAACATTACCATGCCAAGTCAAACACTCTCCAAAATTCCCGACAACTCCAGAAAACGTTATCAAGGATGCGGATCAATCTATAGGGAACTATCACTCATCTCTACAAATCTTTAACCAGAGGATTTAATACATTTTAACCAGATCAAAGCTTCACTTGCTTTGATGTTTTATCTTTTGAGGTGTCCATATTTTATCTTGACACTGCTTTTCTACTATGAATATATTTCCTTTTCTTGGAAGTTTTTCTCCTGCTTCCCTGCCTATCAACATTACAGTTCCCAATTCCTATTTTAGCAGCCAGCTATGGCTGCAAAGTCTTCTGTCACAGCCAAGAGCTATAATCCTCCTGCCAAGCTAGCTCCTCACTGGGTAGAGTAATAAATGCGAGTGAAGATCCAAATTTGCTTACCTGGCACTTCCCTAACCAATCAAATCAATACTAACCTGAAGGTGTGAAATTCTGGAAGGATTTCTAAACCTAAAGATATGTTAACTATAGAAAAATAAGCTTCTGTGGGCCAAAATACAACCATAAACAAAGTCAAGGGCCAACATAAAACTGGAAACAAATACACCAAAAAAATTTCAGTAAGTACGTCAAGGGGTTGTTGTTTGTTCACTAGTAGTTTAAAAACAACAGCAACAAGACTTAAAAAGAGTGCGTTCTTATTTATAAACATAAACTTATCACATGTTCTGTTTCTGTTTTTAAGATAACCCTGACTGAGTTCCCACCATGCCCACAGCCACCTTCAGAGAGGTTCTTCACACTGCAGTCCCTGTGCCTGGCTCCTCATGACGCTACCATCTCAGGGACATCTCATCTGACCAGAGACAGTGACTGACCCAGAAGTAGCCTGGCCTGGCCCCTCTGCTTTGGAGTTCCGCTCAGGAGCACTTAGATGGAACTTCAGCCATCCAGACTTTGTCTAGAGCAGTGTAAAGGCAAAGATACACAAAGAAGGGAGGGAACTTTTTCTGTCACAACAAGGACCCTTCTCTAGGGTTCCCTTTAATATTTTATGAATCTCAAGAATTCTGGCTGAATCCCTTTTTCTATATAGCTGTCATGATTTATTTTAATCTATAAGGCTCCTCTCCCCACTGACTGGCCAAGTAATAAGATCAAATGTCCCAGTTAAAACACCCACTTCTCCATACTCTCTTTCTTTCTTGGGGTTACACATAGACTTTCTTTCTCTTTCTTTCTTTCTTTTTCTTTTTTTTTTTTGAGATGGGGTCTCATTCTGTTGCCCAGGCTGGAGCGCAGTGGTGCGATCTCAGCTCAATGCAACCTCTGCCGCCCACATTCAAGCAATTCTCCTGCCTCATCCTCCCGAGTCGCTGGGATTACAGGCGCCACCACCACACCTGCCCAACTACTAACTTTCTTTTTTTTCAGGCTTTTGCTGCAAGCACAAGAAACACCAAGAGAGGCTGGGAGAAAGGAAAACACCAATACATCTGGGTAAGCTTATGAAACCAAATTTTAATAGACAGAATCTATAACCTACGTTTCATACTTTCAGGGATGATAATAAATTTTGAAGTTTTCTCAGAAACTTCTTGTTTTTTTTTTTTTTTTGGAGACAAAGTCTCACTCACTGTCACCCAGGCTGGAGTGCAGTGGCACAATCTCAGCTCAGGGCAATTTCCAACTCCCGGATTCAAGGGATTCTCCTGCCTCAGCCTCCTGAGCAGCTGGGACTACAGGCGTGCACCACCACACCCAGCTAATTTTTGTATTTTTAGTAGAGACAAGATTTCACCGTGTTGGGCAGGCTGATCTCGTACCCTGACCTCAAGTGATCTGCCTGCCTCGACCTCCCAATCAGAAGCATTTAATTCAACTACTTTTGTGAGCATAAATAGGAACACAAAACAAAGACCTTAATCACTGCTGTTAATGATATGCCTTAAACATAAAAAGGAAAATTATTAAATCTTGAGGTACAATTTCAACTAGTATCACCAACTTTTGGACTAGTCTTTGTAAATTCCAGATTAGCAAACTGTACTCCAGAAAATAATTTTAAAAGGGTCCGGTAAGGCATGCCAGAGATAAGGAGCAAGCTAGAAGTGGGGAAGAAAGAACTTAAAGAGCTCCAAAAGCAACCCTTTTTTTCAAGTCTAGGAGAGAGTAACTATTCCACTGATGGTGGGGTGGGGGCGGAAGAAATATCCGCTGGCCACTCCCCACTGAACAGAGCGACCAGCTTTCTTACCACCAAACACAAGGGGGTACCACTCTGGAGGAGCTCTTAGCTGGCTCTGGAAAAATGGCAGCTTTCAGGCCCCTGCAGATGAATCCACTGGGTGCCAAACAAAATATGACTCTTCAGAAAACAAATAGTTTCCATCATAGTTACAAATAAATGAAATTCACAACTCTTATGTAAATACTGCTATTCCAAGCACGTTTCCAATGATCCAAATGGAGCACTTGATGGCGTGTGTATGTAATCTGTGCGGTATATAACCCATCTTCCGACAACACTGACATCCCGTGGCCTCCTGCTAGATGTTTTGATGAGAAAGGAGATGACCTTAATTAGGGGAAAAATGCCTAGATTCAAATTTTATAAAGCACTCAAGTGATGTGCTTTAATTTTCTTAAAAATGTTTAGAAAATTAATAGTGGGGTCCTGACCCCAGTAAGATGATTTTACAGCTCACTAAATGGATCACGAGTGAACAGAAATGCTTTGGAGCACGATTTTCCAAACTTAAGTGCCATAAAACATAAACCTTTGCCAAAGTAGTTGGTCACCTTTTTAAAAAATATAGACTTTTTTCCCCGAGCAGTTTTAGGTTCACAGCAAAACTAAGTGGAAGGTACAGGAGATCTCTCATCTACCCGCTCCTTCCACATCAGCACAGTTTCCTCCAGTTGGTCAATTTTTTAAAAGCAATACATGTTCTTGCTGGAGAGAAATCAAGACATTATCTTGATTTCAAAATTCCGACTGCAAATGTAAAGAACCACTGTTGTGTGTGTTTTTATGGATACATTAGGAAAACAAACACTTACCATGTAGCATCCAACCAGGAAGGCAGCATTTGCTTGTTTTCTCTGATCTGAGCCAGTAAAATGAACAATTTTCTTCCTTAACATTGTAATGGACTGCATAAAAATAAACAGCTGTTAGCATTTTCTTTTTAATTTCAAGTCTTCCACCATTTCATTTTGTGATGAAGATTAATTCCAAATCCCACAATGTATAACCATTTGCATTATTAGTAAGACCTTTGAAAAGATTAAGATTGATACCCACAGATACCATATACCTTCCCATAAAAAGGCACATTCTGGGATGAGAATAGACATACAGTTAGAGAAGAGGAGAGGAGACATGAATGGACATATGCTTAAAGCACGGGCTGCCTCTGAAAGAACAAAGCAAGAGTGGTAGAAAAGACCACCTTTCCTTCTGTTTGGTTTTTAAAGAAATCTGCCCCCAAAGCCTTTAAGTTAAAATAAAAAGGTATACAGAATTGGCTAGTGTTATAAGCCACGGCAGTGAATAACCAGGGGAGGCGTGTGCAGAGACAGGAACTGGAAGACAGCATGGAGGGCTGCTGTGAGGCGCCGCCAGTGCACTGCTCCTGATCTGGTGATCAAGATCACCTATGTATATTCCATTTGTGAAAGTTTACCGATCTCTACATCCATGATGTGTACATATTTCTATTTATATGTTAAAAATTTTTCTGGCAGGTGCGGTGGCTCACACCTGTAATCCCAGTACTTGGGGAGGCTGAGGCGGACGGATCACGAGGTCAGGAGTTCGAGACTAGCCTGACCAACATAGTGACACTCCATCTCTACTAAAAATACAAATATTAGCTGGGCATGGTGGCATGGTGGCGCAGCACGCGCCTGCAATCCCAGCTACTCAGGAGGCTGAGGCAGGAGAATCCTTTGAACCAGGGAGGTGGAAGTTACAGTGAGCCCAGATGATCCATTGCACTCCAGCCTGGGCAACAAGAGCGAAACTCTGTCTCAGGAAAGAAAAAAAAAAAAAAGAAAAGGAAGAAGAAAAAAAGGACTGAAACATTTTTGGTTGACCCAAAGACTAAAAGTCCACAGATGGTTGAGTACAGGAAAAAAATTTTTTTTCCAAAATTAAAGCAAAGGAACAAATGCTGGGGGAAGAGAGAATTATTTTTAGCTTCCTAGCCCTGCATGAAACAAAAGATCTGCCACTGGCAACTGGAAAAAGGAGGGAGAACTCAAATGCACAAGGCCATAAATAGTTATACTCCTATTTAAGAAAGGCAAAAAAGAAAGTCTCCAGCTTTGTAGCAATATGTAGTGAATAGAGCTTTGATGGTCAAGGAAAAACATCTGCCTTACCCATAAATTTTTAATTAAAGCATGTTAAAATTCTAATTAAAAATAAATTTTATTTCCTCTCTGTATTCAACTAAAGTTTTTTTTAAGTGCCTGTCCCAAAAAGCAGTATTTTCTAGTTGAGAATTTACAGTGACTGATTTGGAACTGCTAGTAAGCAGTACATACATAACTTCCTACCGTGCATGGCCAACAATTCAGTGTTTTACATACATGAATGCGGTCTAAGTTCAAACCAATACAAATATAATTCTGTAACTCTCAGTAATACAGCCTTAATGATGTACTGTTTGCCCTAGATTCTCATGCCCCTTAATTGTATGTATGAAGGATTATGTAGTACAATACCATGGGAGTTTCAAAATAGGAGAGAAAGTAAGATGAGTTCATCTTTCTTGTTAGTTTGCTATCACTCCCCATCAAAATGAAGGCAGAAAGAACAATGGCCAGAGCAAGGGAAGAGTTTCTCTTGTTAGGTTTCAGTTCTATTAGGTCAGACAATACGAGGTTCACTTAATTAACTGATTCCCACTTTGGCTTTTCAAGTATTTGGGCATCACTAACTCAAACTAGAACCAAATGACTCAAACTTAAACTGTCCATTCAAAATTCTAGAAAACAAATATATACACTATGATTTTATAAAACAAAAAATCACATGTGCATGTCCCAAACATCACTGCAGTGAAAAACATAGCATTTCCTTTTTAAAAAGAGATGTTTTCCTAACTTTCGTCCCCCATATCAAGCTAACAATGATTACTTAAGTCAAATCTTAAATAAAGACTTTACCTTTAATTTCTTATTTATCTTGCAACAATATCTGTAAACCATTGCCAGATTGAGTGGTCCAAAATCTGCGTAGAAGCTTTAAAAATGAAAAATAAAAATGTGATGTACATTCTAGATGCTCTGAATATAAATACCTTTTTTGGGTCTATAAGATCAAATTAAGATGAGCAAACATATACCAAATAGTTATGGGCCAATACAACTTAAAGGTATTGTTTTACTAGTGGAAGACTATTCTGGTAAATAATGCCTATTTAAAAATACCACAAGTGCTACAATGCCTATAGGTAACCTCAATGAACATGAACATACCTTCTAAATTTAAAAAGCTGTTTTTCCACACATATTTCCAAGGGCAAAACCACAATATCTTACTTAGTACACATTTATATCTCATTGTAGTGTAAATATTAGATTAGCAAATCTAAAAGTTTAAATTTAGGGAGGTTTTTTTTTTTCCTCTAAAGGTTTATGTTATTACTACAGGTGAAAAACAAGCATCCTGTAATTAGCAACCAACAGATTTATAATTTTCCCAGGCTGTCCCATTTATAACCATACCTTTAGATTCTTCAAAAAAAAAAAGTTACAATCTTTGAAAGAGCAATACTTACTTCTCATATTCAAGTTCATTATCTATGCTGAAATAATGTACATTTGATGCACTCTTTGGTCTGCTGTAGAGAATGGCAAAACAAAGGCGATCTGAAATGGAAAAATTGCAATGTTCCTTCCTGCAGGTTACAAAAAACGTTTCATATATCATGACACAACTCTTTTCAGATGAAGTCAATTTTTCATTTTTTTTCATGCACGTTTCAGATGGTAGGAGTGGTAATGGGTAATTACAAAATATTCTGGCTGTTTGGGTGGGTAATAATCAATGAGCACATTTTTAAAAGAGAAACTGCCTTTAACCGTAAGTTTCAAAAGTGGTGATTTTTCATGTAGTGACGTGATTTCTAAACAAACCTATTTTTGTAAAAGTTTAGCTCCCCTGGATTAAGACATTTCAGCAAATTGCAGCATGCATGTGATGGCTAGCATCATCCTTGTAAGTTTCTAGATGAATTTCACTACGTTTTTCAAGACATCCTAAAAAGTCATTTCAGTAAGAAACTATTTTTTTTTTCTTAAAGAGAAAGAATGCTTTCAAAATTGCTTCAAAATTATCACTTACAGCTATAGAACAAACCATATGTTTCCCCAACTGTTCTCAGGGATCACTTCTTTCTAACTTGGAATCACTACTTCGGTATTTTTACAATTAGACAAATTACCATTAAAACAGAAGCAATGAGAGGTTTCTGCATGATGGGTCTGAGATGAACTTGTGTTGCATAAAAGCAGTTAGGCTGCTGTGAGGTTAGCAAGAATGGTAATAAGTAGTAAGGCTCAGGAGGCTCCACCCTTATTCCTTGCCTAAAAATCCTCGGGTGAAATAAAGTCATCCACAACATCTAATAGTAATACTAGTGGTGCTAAGAAAATACACTCACAACGTGGCAAAATCAAGTACAGCCTTTAAAACATATATACTTTCAGCAGAGCCAGCTGGCACCCTTTCCCCAAATGGTAAACTTTTTTTTTTTTTTTTGATCTGCAATTCAACTCATGCAACTGCTACGTTTATTTCCTTGTAAACTCCTCAGCTAAAATTTCTTGCAACCACAAACACTCAAACTGGTGACAGGGCTTAATCCTTTCCAACCACAAGGACCTTTGATCCCTGTGACAGAGCCCAAGGATCTCGCTCCCGCGGGTGGGGAGGTGCAGCTCACCTACTAGGCTCAGATGCAGGCACGCAAGGGTCACAGCCGCCCATGAGCGCTGAAGCCCAGAGCCTGAGGACAAGTGCCGAGGCCACCCACGCGCAGGAGACAGAGGCGGCCGGGGCCCAGACTAGGGGCACCTCCCGGCCAGCGCCGCCCGCCCCGTCCCAGCGCGGGTGCCGGCGTCCCCAGGAAGCCCCCGCCCTCCCGGCTCACCTTTGATCACCTCGGCCACCAGAGCGGCCCCCGCGCCCTCCCGGCTCATGACTCCAAAGCATCTGGAAGGCGGGGCAGAGGCAAGGACGGCCAGCCGCCGAGAGGGGAGGCGCCGCGACCACACCCCCGAAGTTTAAAAAACAAAGTTTAAAGGGCCGCGCGGGGCAGCGGGCGCAGCGACACCCCTCGGCGGCCCAACGGCCGGACACGACAGCGCAACCCCGGAAGTCCCCAACTCCTGGAAACAGCCCGGTGGGCGACAAGGGCGCGGGGAGGGACAGCACCCCGCCCCACCTCCTACTTTCTTCCCCCGTCCCCCGCCCCGCCGCTTCGCCGCCCGCCTTCCCTCCCCAGCGGGGAACGCAGGGCGGCCTGTGCCTGCCAGGGCTCGAGTCCCAAACACCCCGCAGAGGGGACGTGGGTCAGACGCCAGCGGGCCTGCGGGGGAAGCGTCTGGCAAAGCTCCTTAGCGATTAAAGGACTTCGTGCAAAAGGGCTCGGTCCCAGACCAGGGACAGACCCGAGGGTGACGCCGGCCGGGGCGGGGGCCTCCTGGCTCCTCCCACGCCGCAGTCCTGCCGCCAGGAGGTGCTGCAGCCGAGCCAGGCCCGGGCCCCTGCAGTGCGCCCTCCCGGAGCAGGGCCCAGCGCACCCTCGCTCCGCCAAGACCCGCCAAGTGACCCAGCAGGCCGGGTCTGATGGAAAACCGGCATCTTCAAAATCGTGCAAGATTTCCTGAGATCAGCTGCCTCAGAGAAAACGCTCTTCTTTTAATTGTGCAAGATTTAAAGGCAACCCTCTGGTCATGCGTTCCTTTAAAGGGACGGTTTGGGATGGTTAAAAAACAGAAATGTTGACACCCGTTTTAAACAACCATTTAAAATGATTGTAGAGATAGAGAGTAGAAGGATGGTTATCGGAGGCTGGGAAAGGTAGTGTGGGGGTAATGGGCACAAAAAAACAACAGTACAAATGAGTAAGACCTAGCATTTCACAGCACAACAGGGTGTGGGTGACTATAGTCCACAATAGCTTAATTGTACATTTTAAAATAACTAAGAGTACAATTGGAGTGTCTGTAACACAAAAGATAAATGCTTGAGGGGATGGATACCCCATTCTCCATGATGCGATTATTGTGCATTGCCTGCCTGTATCAAAACATCTCATGCACCCCATAAATATATACACCTACTTGTACCCACAAAAATTAAACATTAAATAAAATATATTCTAAACCTGTGTTTGTATTTTAATCTCAAGTGAAAAAAATTGAAATCCAGCATAAGCATGATCCCAGTTGTTACAGATACCAAGGTGCTGGGACTGGGGTTCATTTTCATTCCCTCCTGTGTTTTCCCAAGTTTTCTATAGAAAAGTGTTACTTTATACATACTTTTGCCTCAAAAGTACACCTGCATACCTCCTAATCTTATTCTACAATTCCAGATGGATCAAAGACTTCTTAAAATATATTTTAAAAACCACGAATTCTTTTTTATACTGTCCAACTGGGGAAGACCTTGCTAAATGATACAAAATCTAAAAGCCATAAACACATTTTTAAGCAGTTTTCACAGCAAAAGACACATAAACGAAATCAAGAGATAAACTGGAAAAATATTTTAAATTCATCTCGAGAAGATACCTAACTTCAGTTTTATGTTATCACAAAAGAAACGCAAAGTTCCACTATGAGGTACTATTTTTTCCTCAGACTGGCAAAAAAAGAGAGTTGGGTAAGGTGCTGCGGTGTGTCGGGAGGTCGAGGGCACTCACATACATCGCCTGTGGGTAGGAATACAAACTGAGCCACCTCCATGGAACCAACAAATGGGAAGTTCGGCAGAAATGTTTAAGACTGAAAACTGAAAACTAGCCAGATGTGGCGGCTCACGCCCGTAATCACAGCATTTTGGGAGGCCAAGGCGGATGGATCATCTGAGGTTAGGCATTCGAGCCTAGCCTGGTCAACATGGTGAAACCCCGCCTCTACTAAAAATACAAAAAATTAGCCAGTCGTGGTGGTGCACGCCTGTCATCCCAGCTACTTGGGAGGCTGAGACAGGCGAACTGCTTGAACTCGGGAGGTGGAGGTTGCAGTGAGCCAAGATCACGCTTTTGCACTCCAGCCTGGACAACAAGAACGAAATTCCGTCTCAAAAGAAAAAAAAAAAAAGAAAAGAAAAGAAAAGAAAAGAAAAGAAAACTGAAAACTAAAGATAGCCAAGATGGACTGTTAAGTACTACCACCTCTATGTATGAGTTTAAATCCTACATACACATGTATACGATTATAGATGAAATCATGGGTAGCAAATCTCTGGAAGCAGCCACAAGAAACGTATCAATGCCTTGGTAAGTCAGTGTCTAGAAATAGGGAATGTTAAGAGAGATTTATGCCTTTTTACAGCTTTTGCACTGTAGCATGTATTACCTATTCAAAATTACACCGCTTTTAAAAAGTCAACTTGCAGGCTAACAGTGTTTTTCCAAAGCTGACTCTTGATCAAGATAGGAAGCATCTAATGAGCACAGTACGAGGCAACCTGGAAAATATCCTTTGCGCGCATTTAAACAAGGGAACTGGTTAGTAACATGTTTTGGTTTCTACCTATCTCTTGAAATTCCAGTTTCTTTCAAAAAACCCAATTTAAACTAGAAAAGTAGCTAGATGGAAATGGAAAGAAATTTTCCCTCCCAGCCCAAACCTTAAGTTCAATTCCCTAAGGAGTATTTTATGTATTACAGGCGGGGGAAAATCATTGATTTCTGATGTGCAATTATCTCCATATAATGCCAATATTTTATCGTTAGAGTAACACACCAACAAAGTACTACAGAAACTATGGTGCTGGGTTGAGGGTCATTTATTAGGACCTGGAACCAGAAACAGGGCTCTTTTTTTTTTTTGACGGAGTCTCGCTCTGTCGCCCAGGCTGGAGTGCAGCAGTGCAATCTTGGCTCACTGCAACCTCCACCTCCCAGGCTCAAGCGATTCTCCTGCCTCAGTCTCCCAAGTAGCTGGGATTACACTCGCATGCCACCACTCCCAACTAATTTTTAGTAGAGGTGTCAAAATCCCGACCTCAAGTGATCCACCCGCTTCGGCCTCCCAAAGTGCTGGGATTATAGGCATGAGTCACTGTGCCCGGCCGAAACAGGGCTCTTTACAAAGTTTTGCTTAAAGCTTGACGATTAACTTTATAATCCTGTTAAAAATCCATGTATCCCCCCATTGATGTTTCTGTTGTCAGAAACAGAAAGCAGCAGTCATCTTTTTGCCTATACATCCCTGTCGCACCACATCATCATTCCTGCTTCTTTGACTAATATGATATGGGAGAAGGAAACAAAATCTCATGATTTAAAAATGTTAGTAAAAGTATTTAAAATCCATCCTTGGGCCTAATTTGTCTGTAGGTCGGATTTGACTTTTGGGCCTCCAGGATGACTGCCTTTCCCTTTAGCAAATATCTGTTAAATGTGAAATGAAAAACATTTTCCTGGATAACAGCTATAGGTATTTGGGGATAATTAACCATAAAACAGAGAAATATGTAGGAGTTGGTGGGAATTATAATAAAGTATGTGCTTGTTAATAGGAAAGATTTAAAGAGCCCTATGTGGACCCAGAGACACAGTGGACTTTCTCCACTTTGTATTTCCCCCTTGACCTGGGTGGACGGCCTTCACAGGTCCTGGCAGAGCCAATGGAGAAATGGACAGCTTCCCTACAGCTGGGGGAAGTCAACCTCTGCTGAGTTCACCACAGACAGGCAGAAAGGAGATTTTACACGCTAGGGAGCAGGAGAGAACAAGCTCCACCTGAACACAGACTGCCCCTCAGAGACAGGACCACAGACATTAGGCTGTCATCTGTATTAGCCGCTTGTTTTTTGAGGGAAGGAAAGAACATGGGGAGCAGAGGAAGAAAGGTTCATGAAAGTACTGATTAACAAAGCAGCAGCAACGGCATTACCCACTCAAATGACAATGATAACCAATGATGATGGAGAGTTCAGATGATGGAGAGTTCAGATGATGGAGAGTTCAGAGCCACGTATTGTATTCAGCTCATTATACCCTGTGAGGTTAGTACTACCAGGGTCAACTAGCCCTAAGGAGGTGGAGTGACTAACCTGCACAAGGTCACAAAGCTTGCTGGGAAGTGGCAGAATTGGGATTTGAACACAGGCTACTGGATCTGAAGCATAAGATTAAGTCCCAGCCTCAAAGACTTGCCCAAATATAAGTCAACAGTAACTAAAACAATAAGATTTTAGCACAGCAATGTACAATCTGGACCCAGACATATATGAACACTTATAAGAAAACTGATTATTTCAATTCAGTAACAAAGAAGGCCTTATCCAATATGGGGCAGGTGTTTACATGTATAAAAAGAAAATGAGATGCTAATATCACATATTTATAAAACACACCACAGATGAAATAATTTTGAAAAAGCTATCAGATAACTATAAAATTATAATGGATTTTTTTTCTGGGGGGGACGGAGTCTCCCTCTGTTGCCAGGCTGGAGTGCAGTGGCGCAATCTCGGCTCACTGCAACCTCCGCTTCCTGGGTTCAAGCGATTCTCCTGCCTCAGCCTCCCGACTACAGGCGCCTGCCATCGCGCCCGGCTAATTTTGTGTTTTTAGTACAGATTGGGTTTCATCATGTTGGCCAGGATGATCTCAATCTCCTGACCTCGTGATCCGCCCACCTCGGCCTCCCAAAGTGCTGGGATTACAGGTGTGAGCCACCGCGCCCAGGCTATAATGAATTATTTTATTTTTTTTTCTTCTGGTTCCCAAGTTTTATTCACGAACTCATACAAAATATTCCAGATAAATGAATTTTAATCCTCATCTTTCTCCTCTTATTTGTCCTGGCTAATTTGGAAGTAATGTAATTCATAACAATGAATAATTTTATAATTTAACACGCAGAATTTTAAAGTGTGACACAAAACAAGTCACAAAGGGAAAAACTAGGAGAGACTTGGGGGAAAACACTTACAATAAAAGTTAATTATCACAATAGATAAAATGTCTCTCCAAAGCAATATCACCATCTGTGATATTATAATTATATACCTATTGGTTTTGATCCACAGTTCCTAGCTCCCAACTCCCATAACTTTTGTTACAATATCTTGTTATATGCTGGGTGCTGTGGACCTCAGAAAGCCGGCCTTGGGAAACAGAATCTCTCTGACCGTTTCCTGCTCTCCTTTCCCCGGCCCAAGGCAGGGCTCTAATATGATTCTGAGCTGTAAGACCCTCATTCCATAAAGCATCCCGTCCCATACCCTGGAGGAAGACATGCTGCCCTGAGAGGCTGGAAGAATCTGAACAGACAGGCCTTGCTGGGTGTAGATTATACCCTTTTTGTCCAATCAAATTTCAGCACAGTTGCCCATCCTTCAATCATGGACAAGCAACGAAATCTCCACTAAAGGCCCAAAGGACAGGGTTCACAGGACTTCTGGAGAGCTGAACCATGGAGGCTGACAGGAAGGTGAGTGAGAACTCATCCACATGCCCGGATGGTGGTGTACCCCAACTCCACGGGGTCAGAAGTTCCTGCACTTGGGACCCTTCCAGACCTCACCTGGTGCGTCTCTTCCTGTGGTTGTTTATCTGTATCCTTTAAAATAGCCTTCATAATAAACTAGTAAGCGAGTTTCCCTGATTCCTCCAGCAAATTAATTGAACCCAAAGAGGGGATCCCGGGAACCCCAACTTGAAGCCAGTCAGTCAGAAGTTGCTGAGGCCCAGACTTGTGACTTGTGGGAAGAAGGGGGTAGTTTTGGGGACTGAACCCTCAACCTGTGAGATCTGATGCTATCTCCAGGTAGATGGTGTCAAAACTGAACGGGAGGACACCCAACTGGTGTCAGCCACAGAAATCCACACATATTATAGAGGTCTTTTGTGCTGATAATTGCTGTGTTGGTGTGACAGCAGAAAAACAGTTCAAGTTTTTCCCTAACACAACCCAAGAGAAAAAGATCTGGAAAGGCTATGAACACTCAATTCAGAAAAGAAATACAAACGGTCAA